ATTTCTTTTATGGCTAGAGAGGTTGAGCATTTCTTCATGTGTCTATTGGCCATCCTTCTTTCCTCTTCAGAGAAGTTTCTCTTTAAGTCTTTAGCCCAATTATTTATTGGGCAGTTGTTTCTTTGAGGATTTGTTGTTGGGAGATTTAATTTTTTGATTTCCAGGTATATTTTAGATATGAGACCCTTGTATGGCTAGTGAAGATCTTCTCCCAATCCGTGGGCTTTCTGTTGATAAGAATTTATTTTAAAAACAAGAAATTGGAGGAGTGGATATACCTCAACAGGTATGTGACTGTTTTATAGATCATGTTATGTTATGATGCTAGTCTCATCTCAGTAGCATCGGATTACTGTTGATAGGCTAAACATCAATAATGATTGTAAGAACAAAGGATCCATCTTGTTAAAGTGTCATTGCAGTTTTTTTAAACAGAGCTCTTTGGAGAAAAAATTGCCAAATACCTGGCAGAGAATTCTCCATGTGGCAGCTTTTCCATTGACATTGATGACACTGGGATGATAATGAGACCTTTAAAGGGTGTGTGTCGGGCACCAGTGGTTCACGCCTGTAATCCTAGCTACTCAGGAGGCTAAGATCTGAGGATCTTGGTTCAAGCCAGCCCAGAAAGTCTGTGAGACTCTTATCTCCAATAAACCACTAGAAAACTGGAAGTAGCACTGTGGCTCAAGTGGTAGAGCCCTTTCCTTGAGCTGAAGAGCTGAAGGACAGTGCCCAGGCCCATAGTTTAAGCTCCATGACTGACAAAAAAAAAAAGGGTATGTGTGTGTGGAGGGTGTGGGGGGCAGGATACAGAGGCCTAAGAGAATGTGTGGTGTTTGGGGTGTTCTTTCTACCCATCTCAACTATGGCCAGGAAGTCACCCACACTTTGCTTAATAATTAGGCATTTTTATGCCACAGAGCATTATATTAATTTTTTAAAAATCTGTCCAGATGCCAATGACTCACACCTGTAATCTTAGCAACTCAGCAGGCTGAGATCTAAGAATCAAGATTTAAAGCCAGTCTGGCCAGAAAATCCAAGACTCCTATCTCCAATGAACCAGCAACAAGCTGGAAGTGGAGATAGGGCTCACGTGGTAGAGTACCAGCCTTGAATGAAAAAGCTAAGACATAGCTTGAGGCCTTGAGTTCAAGCCCCAATACCAGCACACACACACACACAAAATCTAAACTAAAGTTGCAAATTAGAAGAATATTCTCTGTGTATTATGATATTCAAGTACAGGAGGGAAATTATTTTGGGGGACAAAGATTGCCCATGACTACTTTGCAAATTCTTCATATTTCATTTGTCACTGAAGTCTTTGACACTTTAAAGGAGTCTCGTTTCTTGCTTGCTAGAAATTTATCTTTTTGTTTTCCCATTTCCATCTGAATATGCTGAGGAAGATAAAAGGATTTAGAAAAAAAGAAAATACCTTTCTTTTTTTAAAATACCATGCTTTTGGCTAAAAGTCTTTCTCTTTCTCTCTCTCTTTCTCCCTCTTTCTTGTACAGAGGCTTGAAATAAAGTCCTCATGCTTTTACTTGGCTTTTTCTGCTCACGGCTGATGCTGTACCAATTGAGCTATATCTCTATGTCCTGATTTTTGGTCGTTAAATAGAGATAAGAGTCTCACAGATTTGTCTGTCCAGGCTGACTTTGAACTGCAATCCTCATATCTCAGCCTCCTGAGTAGCTAGGATTACAGGTGTGAGCCATCAGTGCCTGGCATATAAGTTGTTGTTGTTTTTTTTAAATAGAGCTGTCCAAGCTCAGAGAGAGACAAACAGCACATGTTTTCTCTCATATTTGGAAGCTAGATCTAAAATACATTTGTACATGATGATTTATACAATACTCTAGGCATTCACACACAAAGACAGTCGGATTAAAGAAGGATACTATTAAGAGAGGAACCCAATGGCATAACTCCTCTGAACATTTAAAATACTATTTACTGAAATGAATTACAGGAAATGAAAACATTTTTGTTGTTATCATTGTTGTTGGTGGTGGTGGTGAAGGTAGCAGGGGCATTTGTTTTTGCTTTTGAGGTTTTTGTAAAAAAATCTTTTTAGGGGAAACAACAAGAGTAGGTACAGCTGGGCTCCGGTAGCTCAGGCCTGTAATCCTAGCTACTTAGGAGGCTGAGATCTGAGATCGTAGTGCAAAGCCAGCCTAGGCAGGAAAGGCTATGAGACTCTTATCTCAATAAACCACTCAGAAAACTGGAAGTGGTGCTATGGCTCAAGTGGTAGAACACTAGCCTTGAGCTGAAGTGCCCAGGCCCAGAGTTCAAGCTCCATGACTGACAAAAAAAACAAAAAAAACAAAAAAAACAAAAAAGAGTGGGTGCAGAAATGGAGAGAGGAAGAATGAGCAGATGTAGTCATGTATTGAATATGCATTATGTAGAAAGTGAGCAGAGCAACTTGTGGGCAGGGATGGGAGGGGGGATCTGGGGGGAAGCAAAGGAAGAGGTGACGAATGTACCCATTGCCTGACTTATGAAATGGCAGCCCCTCTGTATAACACCTGAATAATAACAATAAAATTATGTTGAGATAAAATAGGGCTTTCCCCAAATTCGGAGCAGAGGAGACTCCAAACTCTTCCAGATATAGAGGCTCTACAGAATGACTTTGGGAAGGAACAATCTCTGTTACTATGCATTTCATTCATTTATTCTTTCAACAAATACTTACTCAGCACCTGCTGTGTGCTCATCACTGTCACAAACCTTGGATACAGCTTAGAATGGGAAGAAGAGCCTGCAGAAGACTATTTGCCTCTTGCATTTCTCTGTTACACTGTGTTCCCCTAGAACACATAGGCGGCATTCAGTGTTGATCGAATCAATAAATGATCCTAAGCCTTTGGGGCTTCATACTAAATTTCATATTGTTTAGTTAGTATTCCTATGTTGGTAAAATCTGAGTTAAATAGATTTCAGGGTAGCCTCAAAGGATATAGTGAGAGGTGAACCACTGGCAGGCAGCAAGTAGCCTAGGGAGAGTGGAGAGTGCTGTGGGCACATTATTGTATTGCTTCCTACTGAGATGAGGTTCAGGGGTTGACCGTGAGGTGAAGTACAAGAATCCATTCTCACATGGGCTTTATGGAAATTAGCCTCAGGACTTGGGAACTGCCTGTGCTGGTGAATCTTTCAGCTCTGCCTTGTTACAGGGTGGGAGAGGGGCTGTACTCTTCCCCTCCCTAAGGCCAGTCCTCTGCCGCTGGACATCAGAATCAGTCTCTCCAAATAGGAGTCCTGGAGACAGCGACGGAGTGGCTGCTTCCTTCTCCACGGAGGGGCATAATTTTGTTTTGAAATAATCAACAGGCAAAGGGTTTCAAGACAAGAATGTAGTGGGAAAGATGAGGGCTTCCTTGATAATACAACATTTAGTACCTTGGGGAGTTCAGTCTTCAGACTGAGAGTTCTTTCTCCTCCTTAGCTTGCTTTCCTTTCTCCTTCCCTTCCTTCTTCCTTTACATCTCCCCTACTCACTTCATTCTTTTCTGCTTGCTTGCTTGCTTCCTTCCTTCCTTCCTTTCTTTCTTTCTTTCTTTCTTTCTTTCTTTCTCTCTTTCTTGTTTTTCTCTTCCGTCCTTTCCAACAACCTAAACAATCCTGACTCCTCTACTTTTAATGAGCATGGGTGCCTGTTTAAAGGCTGGAAGGTGTTTCAGGATGTTTCTGGGGCAGATAAAATGAATGAAATAATGGTTGCTTCATTATTTCATTAGAGGCAGGCTCAAAGGACAAGCCCCTCTGTTATAATAACATCATTAACTGACAAGTCATCATATTTGGGGAAAAGGTTTGTTTATTGCTACCTTGTTAAATACCACATATTTCACTTGTAAATGTCATGTGAAAGTCATTTCTCTAGGAAGATGCATGCAGCTCTTGCGGTGAATTATTTGATTGACATTCCCATTAATTTTTGTCTACCATTCAACAAAATCATTAAATTAATGATGAGAGTAAGGGTCTCCTGGAACATGGATGACTGGATTTATAGCTCACTAGGATGTCCCTAACAACTTGAGAGTGTTCAGGGATTCATGTTCCTATTTTGGTCATTTCTGCTCCTGTTCTTGTCCACTACTATGATAGTCGTGGAGAATTAGCACTTCTGAGGCTGTCCTATTGTGGCTCTCCAGGAACAGCTCTATTAATACCTCTTTTCACCTTTCTAGGTGCAAATTCAGGCGAGAGATTCTTCCAGCCAGATGCCCCCTTCCTCAGATCCTCCTGAGGAAGAGTCTCCATCCACCAGGACCACAATGAATTTCTCGTCCATCTCAGAAGGGACTCACGGGGAAGAGCCACCATTGGCCCAATCCCTGCAGTTGGAAAACTGTTCTCAAGACCCACAACAGACAGAAAAACAAGACAGAGAAGGCGGTGCATCTAGCAGGTCCTGGGAAGACCTAGGACATGAGCCCAGCATCCCAGAAACCAATGATGACAATATGTACCCAGCTGCCTCCTCACCTCCTCTCCCCCAGGAGGGCAGCAATGCCTGCAGCGAGCCTGAGGCTCTCTTTATTGCTTCCCGTGAGCCTCTAGATGCTGCCCTCCTCCTGGCAAATCCATGCAGTGAGCCAAGGGGCGGAGAAGCAGTGAACGTGGTGGAGTGTTTTGAAGCTGGTGACCAAGGAACATGGTCTGATACCATGGATCCTCCTGTGGGAGCACCAGTTGATAAATACCTGCCTCAAGAGATTTGCTCCATGGACTTTGAGAGGACAGAAGGTCACAGCAAAGTATGTGATTTATGTTCTCCTGATGACAAGCCCCTGGCGGTTCTTCCTCAGGCACCAGCTTCTGAGTCTCCTCAGCCCACATGTGAGAATGCCAGGGATAGACGCTTGGCCATCAGTGCCTTCACCTGGAACATGTCACAGGTGGCCAGCAGGGGTGTCACAGGGGCAAATGAAGCTGAGGTGGAGGATCGCCCCTGCATCTCAGCTTCCACAATCCAGGCCATCCGGGAGAGTTCAAATCCCTGTTTCTCAGAAGGGCTTGGGGAGCTTCATCCCCTTTCTTCTGAGAACAAGTCCTTCGTGCACCTTAACGAAGGAGGCAGTGAGACCCCCAGGACCAGTACCCCCACTACCAGGGACAGACCAGCCAGGCACGGTTCAGTGATGAAGGTCCCACAAGAGAAGCCAACAGCAACAACGGCTAATTCTAAGTGTCTTCAGGTGGCCAGGGAGACTCAGGACACATCACCTCTTGTCGCTGAACCCAAGGTCCACCCAGCCAAGTATCACACTGTTTCAGTTTCTGAAGACAGCCCAATAGAGGGCACTGAGGAGAGTTCACCCGAGGCGCCAGATGTAAACCACTACCAATGTCCTTCCAGTGTAGAGTCAGGCCATATTTTAACCGGATCCACAGAAGAGCTCCTTTGCCTGACCTCCAGTGTTCCAGAAGTCTCTGGCCCAGAGGGAGAGGAATTTTGTAGCAATTCCCCTCTTCAGCTTGATGACCAGTCTCTGGATGAAAGCCAAATGGGGTTCAGAACAGACAACAGGAGCTTTGACGAGGATTTCCGAGAAAAAGGAAGTGAAATGAGGCAGAGAATCCAACCAGACAGCCTGCCCTACCATGGTTCCCTTTCTGCACCTGATTTCCAAGAAAGTTTGTCCCAGTCATCGGTTACACAGGAAGACATCTTGGTGCCCTCAGAGCTCTCCCCAGAAAATTCCAGGGAAGACACAGTGTGCGGCTCAGGTGTGGAGCCCACTGTCCCCGTGGTAGCAGAAGGAACCAGGGAAGAACACATCCAGACACTGAGCAATGTTCCATCTCTCTCTGAAATCCTCCTGGGGGAGTCTCAGGCCCTGGGACTAGGCAACTGGGAAGCAGGTAACAAGGTGAAGATTATAACCCTAGAGATTCCTGATTCTGAAATTTGGCCATCAAGGCAAGTGACGGATCCTGAGTGCAAAGAGGCAGAAGCTGGATCCACAGTCTTTGGCAGGGCCTGGTCTCTGTCTGATGTTCTGAACGCAGATTCTGCTGTGGCAGAACCTGCCCCCTGGAGGATAGCAGCAGGGGCCCAAAGTCCTTGGGCTGAGATGACTCCAGTCCCTGCTAACAACAGGAAAACGGGCGAAGATGCCACACCAGCCAGCATCATGTATTGGAGTAGTCTTTCTTCCCAGGGTATGAGCCACCCCAGGTTCCTGGAGTCATCCGTGGACCCCATGGAGAAAGAGGAATTATGTATGATAGATTCTCTATCCCAGGCTTCGCAAATGGAAAGGACAGGACTTGCTAGCAATGTGAGTCAAGAGCAGGAGGAAAATCAGCTCAAGATGGATAATTCTGCCTTATTGAACCAGTGTTTGACCTTCCCTAACATCTGGGAATCCTCTGTAGATCCTGTTGATGAGACAGGTGAGAGAGAGTGTCACAGGACTGAGAAAGTAGAACCTTCTGAACCTATACTGGGGGCCCTTGGAGACGGGAGTGAATCCACTGATGGAAATCTGGGCCAGGAAGTGGAAGTCCAACCCGCCCTTCTGCAAGTTCCATGTTCCCAAAACAATGAGGAAACCATTCCAAATGAAAACATGATCAGCCAAGAACAAGTAGTCTGGGAGAGAGAAGAGGCCAAACCAAGTCAAAATGAAGTCAGAGGAAAACTACAGCCGGCCATTTGTCAAGCCCCCTGTTCTGAGGAGGGTTTGCAAAGAACTCCATGTGCAGGCAGCATGGACCGAGCACAAGAGGGCAATGATAGAAGTTTAGGGGAGGCTGAGCAAAGCAAACAGGACAAGGCTGAATTTCTTTCCCCCTCGTCACCTCTTTCTAGTTGTCTTGCAGTAATGACTGATGCACCTGTTGAAGATGAGACTCACTACTCCACAGGCCAAATTTATAGTCAATTTGCAGATGATTTTGTTGAACCCAGAAACCATCAGTATGTATTTTGCAATGCGGAGGGAAGGGAAACTACTGAGACCGAGCAGGGGAAACATGTGCCCTCTTGTAGTGATCTTACACCATGGCCTTGCAGTTCATCTCCCCAAGGAAACGCCACACACTTTTCAACAAGTCATAGCACGGAGGAACTGAAAACAGAGGAGCTTCAGATTGGGGAAACCAAAGCCCCAAGTTCATCTGACTCCCAAGCAATGACCCTGGCTTTCATTTCAGGAGAACGTGAGTCAGAGAAAGCCCCTGAGGTCCTACAGGACCTATGTCAAAAGGGCTCTATCCTGGGAAGTGGGAATAAGTTCAAGGAGAAGGAGAAGTCTAGCCACGTGGCTGCCCAGACTGGCAAATTACCAGGGGCTCGATCATCAGTGGCTAGGTCAGAGGAGATCAAGAAGACGCAAGAAACTCCAGGAAGTGGACATCTAGCTGAGGGAGTAAAGAAGAAAATTCTGTCCAGGGTGGCAGCCCTGAGATTGAGATTGGAAGAAAAGGAAAATGTCAGAAAGAACTCAGGTCTTCCTAAAAAAATACCTAAGCTCGAAAAATCATTATTACGCACCACTGAGAAAAAAGAACCCAGAAAGGCACCTTGCAAAAGAGAAGGAAAAGGTGAGGCCCTGTTGCTTTCTATGGCTGACTCTTGGGTTTCTAAGACTAGGTGTGAAGTTCTTTTGTCCTGTTGAATCCTTTGCAATTCCCGGAGTATCCACCAGGTGGGAATGGTGCCTAACTATGGCCAAATAGGTCCACACTCCTCAAATGTGTGGAGGCTTTGGCCTTCCTGGAAGGCCTGTTAAAACTGGAATTGTAGGCCAAACATAGCAGCTCATGCCTATAGTCCTACCTGCATAGGTGACAAAGGAATGACATTTCAGTCCAAGACCACATAGGCAAAAAGTTTGAGAACTTATTGGGGGAAAACAACAACAACAACAACAAAACCAACTAAAGTAAAAAAAAGAAAAGGCTGCTAGGCACGGGTGGTCACGCCTGTAATCTTAGCTACTCAGGAGGCTGAGATCTAAGGATTGCAGTTCAAAGCCAGCCCAGGCAGGAAAGTCTGTGAGACACTTATCTGCTGTTAACCACCAGAAAACCAGAAGTGGTGCTGTGGCTCCTGTGGTAGAGCACTCACCTTGAGCTGAAGAGCTCAGGGACAACACCGAGGCCCAGAGTTCAAGCTCCACGACTGACAGAAAAAAAAGAAAGGGCTGGTGGCATGGCTCAAATAGTAGAGTACCTGCCTAGCAAGTGTGAGGCCCTCATTCAGACTCAGTACAGCTAAAATAACAGGTTACAGGGACCCACTCTTGAGCTTCTGGTGGGGGAAGGGCACCCAAGAATCTGTACTTCTACCAAGTTCCCAGGTGATCTGACAGGAGAGGGGTACCTAGAAGCAATTGATTATGGCTACCTGTAGATAAATTTGATTGAGTGTGATGACAATACCTTTCTGTTTAATTATCTTTTAGAAAAGATAGGCAGAAACATACATCGATAAAGCCAATTTGTACCACAGGATTTATAGAAAAAAAATCTTCAGCACAGTTTAAGTTTCTCTTTTATTCCCCCCTCCTTTTGTTGTCAGTTGTAGGGCTTGAACCCAGGGCCTAGGTGCTGTCCCTGAGCCTCTTTGTGCTCAAGGCTAGTGCTCTAGCACTTGAGCCACAGCACCACTTCCAGTGGTTAATTGGTGACAAGAGTCACCTGGACTGGCTTCAAACCACAATCCCCAGATCTGAAGCTCCTGTAGCATTACAGGCATAAGCCACCAGGGCCTAGCTTATCCCAATTTTGTTTTTTGTTTGTTTGTTTTGTTTTTGGTCAGTTGTGGGGCTTGAACTCTGGACTTGGGCGCTGTCCCTGTGCTCTTCAGCTCAAGGCGAGCGCTCTACCACTTGAGCCACAGCGCCACTTCTGGTTTTCTAGTGGTTTGTTGGAGATAAGAGTCTCACGGACTTTCCTGCTGGGGCTGGCTTTGAACCGCGATCCTCAGATCTTAGCCTCCTGAGTAGCTAGGATTACAGGCGTGACCCACTGGCGCCCACTTCCCAATGTGCTTTATTAGCATACATTTAGTTATACACAGGGAAGTCACTATGATTTCTCCCGCTCTCTACTTCCAACAGGTCTCATTGTTCTATTTTCATATCAGTGTACAAAACACTTGGACTGTATTCAGCCACCCATACATTCTCCTTTCATCCTCCCCCGCCCACTGGTATCCATGATCAAACGGAACCTGTTTTCCCTTCCTCTGCATCATTGTTTTAGAGCTGCATTTGGCAGCTCAGAGAGAATATACAATATTTGACTTTCTTTTTTTTTATTGTAAAAATACTGTACAGAGGGGTTACAATTGCATGGGCAAGATAATGAGTACATTTCTTATCAAGCATTGTAGCCTCCAATTTTTGACTTTTTTAATCTGACATTTTTGCCTAACATGATGAGCTCCAGTTCTTTTAATTTTCCTGAAAATGATATAATTTCATTCTTTTTTTTTTCCGGTCATGGGGCCTGAACTCTGGCCTGGGCGCTGTCCCTCAGCTCTTCAGCTCAAGGCTAGCGCTCTATCAGTTGAGCCACAGCGCCACTTCCGGATATTTCTGCTTATGTGGTGCTGAATTGAACCCAGGGCCCCATGCATGCAAGGCAAGCACTCTATCACCGGGCCACCTTCCCAGCCCCTATAATTTTGTTCTTTATGGCTGAATAATACTTCAACAAATGCTGACAAAGAAGTGGGGTTTAAGGACCCTTTTACACTGTTGCTGGAATGTAAATTAGTACAACCACTAGGGAAATCAGTATGGTGTTTTTGAAAACTAAAGCTCAGACTACCATATGATCTGTCTATACAATTCTTAGATGTATCTGAAGGAATGGAAGTCAGCATACAGTTGAGATACACACACATTTAGCACTATTTAAAGTAGCCAAAACATAGTCAAACTAGCTACCCATCAAGAATGAATGCATAAAAAATAGAGCATAGATATATACAACAAATAAGAGTATTATTCTTTCATAAAAAAGGATTCTCTCCTTTTTCACCATTGATTTTTCAAACCTTGGTGTTTCTTCCAAATATGAGTATGAAATTTCTTTTGAACCCCCCCCGCCCCTTCCTACTCTTAGACTTTTCTTTCTGAGGGGTTTCTGGACCAGGTTTGAGGCCCTTCAGCCTTAACGGTCCTCATGATTATAGTTACTTCTACTTAACCTTAGGAATCCCTCCATTTCCATGCCATAGCACGAGTCTAGCCTGTCTCATTTCAATCTCACTTTCCCTTCCCACACATCCGGGCAAAAGTCAGAGAGAGAATAACAAAGCAATCTCCAGAAACCCTGGTGTGTTGCAGAAGGCATGATGCCTGTTTGATCTGAAGGGGGGATTTCCTCATGTCTTCATCTGCATCCTCACACTAAGAGGCTGGTGTTTGTTATTCCCAGCCCACATCAAACAAGCTCTTAGCCCCTGATGCAGAAAGGATTAAAGATGAAACTGCTGCACAAAATGCCTAGAGCTGTTTAACACGTTCTTAGTCTATATGTACAAGAGTACCTAGAAACAGTAAAACAAGCTTGCTTGCTGCCATCCTTCCTTCCTGCCTTCCTTTCTTCTTTCCTTCTTCTTTTTCTTTCTTTCCTTCCTTCTTTTTTTTAAGCACTGAAGTTTAAACCCAGGCCCTTGGCTTGCTGACAGGTGCATTCCCACTTAAGCCAAACTTCAGCCTTTTCTTTTTTAATTTTGTTATTTTTCAAATAAGGCCTAGAGGAGTTTTTGCTTGGATCAAGAGATCCTTGTATTTATTCTTCCAACAAAGCTGGGAAGACAGGCCCATATCTACATGCTAGCCTGAAGCAATTTTTTTTCTTTTTTAAAAAAATATAATTTTATTGTTATTGAAGTGTTGTGCAGAGGGTTAACATTTCATTAGTCATATAGTGGCATTCTCTTTGGCCAATGCCACCCCTTCCTTTGCTTTCCCCAAGTTTCCCCCTCCTGTCCCTGCCCAGAACCTGAAGCACTTAAAAAAAATCTCAAAAATGTCAATGGTTCCAGTTTAGAGGGAAACAATTTATCTAGAACTTTTCCCCACAATCATTGAAGGGGACAAAAAGGTGGTCCAGAGAGCTGCTGCTGCGGAAGAGTTGGATCTAAGCTCAGTGAAACCTCCCTAAGTAGTGAATGAGTTTTCCACTTCGCTTTGGTCTCAGCAGACACTTAGATACCAGGATGCACATTTACAGGCTAACTCCGCTCAGGAAGAGGCAGAGGGTTGGATGAGTAACAACCAGTCCCTCAGCCAGAGAGTAGCTGAGATTATCCAGTTTTATAGGCGCCCAGTGCATCAAATAGGCTCTTACTCCCTGGTGCAGAACAGATTAAAGATGAAGCTTGTACATATAGTCTCTGCCATGGCAGAGAGCAGAGCCTTCTGAGAAGGCCTGGTGCTTCAGCATGACGCTTGTACCAAGGGCCCGGGACCACATCCTGAAAAGATGCCTCAGGCTGGAGACAACCAAAGAGTTTGCCAGGCCAGACCAGTCTGACAGGGAAGGACTTCCCCCATGCTCCTTGGTCTGTAGAGAGCACTCAGAGGCACAGGTGCATTTCTGAGACTTTTGTAGGCGTTTGTCTGTTTCCCCTGCACAAGGAAGTCTTAGGAACATCCTTGAAGACTGACGCCACAAGGTATTGGAAAGGCCTTTAGGGAAATGGCCTGGGGGGAGGGGTGGTAGGCCTTGGTCAAGGCCTTAGACCCAGCAGTCACCTAAAAAGTCTCAGTTTGGCAGGACCAAATGAATGGAAATGAGGTTTGCCTTCAAGCCTTTGTTGGTCTTGGTGAATTGAATGACCCTCCATGATGCACTGAGCTCTTATAAAGCTGGATAATCTCAGCTACTCTCTGGCTGAGGGATTGGTTACTCATCCAGCTCTGCCTCTTTCTGAGCAGAATTAGCCTTTAAATATGGGTCCTGCTATTTAAGTGTCTGTTGAGACCAAAGAGAAGCGGGAAACTCATTCAATGCATAGATTATTTCACTGTAGTGGAATGAGCAGCAACTGAGTAAACAAAGCTTGTCTTATTAATACATTTGGCTTAGCTGAGGATTATACACTTGTGATGATGATTACTTTGTGTTACAGAAGATGTGAAGTTATGGAACTAGATCTTAATAAATTGCAATCATGTTTCCAGTAATTTCATTTCCTAGCAATTTGTTCCAACCACTTCCCCAGATAGTACATCTTTGGCTTGTTCTAATGTCTAGGCTGCCACCCAGAGGCTGCCCTGACCAATTACACATTTGCCCTGCAGGTCAAGCTCTCACACTGACAAAAATATAAAGCAATAAACTGATGTGATGGCTAATGTTTGTAATCCCAGAAATTTGTAAAATAGAGATTAGAAGAATAAATCACAGTTTAAAACAAAAAATCAAGACCCTGCCTAAAAAAATAACCTAAAAGCAAAAGGGGCTGGAATAGCTCACATGGATGACAAGGCTGAGTTTAACCCTAGTATTGCCAACCCAGGAGAATTTCTTAGGGTGCCTACTGTATTCAAGCTTCATTTGCATCTTTTGTAAATGAACTTGATGTCAAATATCAGATACCTCTACGATTCACCAGGCCCTCTTCATCAATGACAACTGTGACCAAAGTGGGAAAGATAGGTAACTATTACTTAATGAGTAATTTATTGTTTGTTTGCCTTTTCTATTTTGGGGGCATAAGCACAGTTTCCTGAATTAATCTAGATTTTATTCTGTGCCCTAATCCCGAACTCTGATTTTTATCTGGACCACGTGAGTTCAAACCCCTCTGAGTTCCAACTCCCCTACTATCCGCCCCCCCCCAAACCCCAATCTATCTCAAGTTCTTATCTCACTTTTAACATTACTGACCTCAACGAAGGAATTTTAAGTAATGAAAATCAGGAGTTTTCTTTTAAAATGTTTTGTTCATTTTTCCCTATTATTTTATGTTAAACCAGCCACATTTTCTTGTAGACAGTTGCCCTACTTACAAATTGGAGCTATTATTCCTGTCTCTTGGAATTTTTGTAAGAATGAAATAGGATAAAATGAGAAAGTCTTTTGCCTACACTGACCTGTAAATCTTTTTTATTTCTAGCTCCAATATTGTTGAAAAAGATCCAAGCTGAGATGTTTCCTGACCATTCTGGAAATGTAAAATTGAGCTGCCAGTTTGCAGAAATTCATGAAGATTCTACAATCTGGTGGACAAAAGATTCCAAGTCAATAGCTCAAGTCCAGAAAAGGTGAGCTATGTATGTGTTCCTGCCTGCCTTTCACAGCTGCCTGCTGGTTCATTTCTTAGTGTCATTGTAAACAGAAAATAATCCAGTACAGGAAGTAAAAAGACAAATTGAAGCAAAGACTCAGTAACCACAACATCCAAGAAGAGTAAGAATCAATACCGAGGGCTAGACAGGATGCCCACGGAGGGGCTCTACTTAGCTCTGCTACTCTTGAATTCTGCACTCTTAGCAAGCCACAGCACCTTTCACTAGTTTCAACATCATGAAGTACATCGAATAATATTCTAGTCTGAGGCTTTGTGGTCACCAGGTTAAAGGACTGTCTTCTGTAGGTTAGGTCTATAAATTCTGTTGGGTGTTGCTTCGTTCCTGAATTTCCATTCATCTCACAAAGGTCAAGGAAAGCTAAGAAGGCAAATCAACAAGATATCAGATAACACATGGGGTTTCAGAAAAGTAATAGCTGTGGCAGATGGTGGGCAACTATCTTGAAGACAGGAAAGCCAGTTTATTTCTGGATCCCTGGGATATTAGAGAAGACTGAGGAAGGGGCAAGAATGAGAATCGTTGCCAAGAACTCCTGAGATAAACCTGACTGATGGATCCCTAAAACCCCTTCTTGATCACTAATGCTGGTCCAAAGGAACTGGTAGACTTCAGATTCATCCAAAGCATTCTAGAAACAAGCCATCTGTCTTTGTGGAAATCAGCATCAATTAAACACCCTCCAGAAACTTATTTCTGCCAAAACAGTCCTGGTTTGGCTCCCAAATCATGGGAGGTGCCCCATCCTCTTCATCTGGTCACAAATAGATTTTTTTTCAGGTTTCTGTGGAATTAAATCAAATACATCTGCTTGGAACATTTGTGTAGAAAATATTTCCCAAATGCAACTAGGAGCTATAGTTCTCTTCTATGAACATCACTCAAAAAAATCTAAATGAATCATGATTAATACAATATCCATTTGGCCTAAAATACCACCTATTACTCTGTTGTATATATAGGCGTGAAAAGAATTATAATGGAGAAGCAGTTTGATTTTTTCCCCATTTAATTTCTTTTTTAGTATATATTAATTTAAAAAAGGGTTGATTTTTTAAATCGTGGTGGTTCCCTAGAGTTTTGTTAAAAAGCGCTAATTATTCATTTTAATTATTTTCTGAAGCTGTCAGCCAAGAACAATTAATCCGCATTTTTATTGTTTTTCTATTAACCAGCCCTGCTCATAACTCAGAATTGGCACTTGAATTTTCCTTTTGTGTTTGAGGCATATCTACAAACCCAGCTTCGCTCTAAGAAACAGATGTTACTAGTAAGCATTCAAGGCCTTTACATCCTTAGTGATGCTTCATCGCTAAGCAATGGCTTGCTTGAACCCATGTGCTTTCTGCACAGTGACACTTGAGACTGTCTAGAGTCATAACTCCTTTGTATAGTGATAGATCATTCATGTTAGGCAGTAGGTTTTCCAGTACTGGGTAAATTCTCTCACCCCTGTTTCCAGCTGAGAATGTTCGTTTACATGTCCCTGTATGAACTAGCTCACCGTCTAGTGTTTGCTAGCTTTCTACTATTATAATGAAATAACCTGAGATAGCTAACTTATAAAGAGTGTTTGCTTTGGCTCACAGTTTTGGATATTCCAGTCCAAGTTCAAGCAGACTCATTGGTTTAGCTTCTAAGTGGAAGATCCCTATACCATGTGAGAGGCAAGTAGTAGAGCAAACTGCTCATCTCCCAGCCAGGAAGCAGAAATCAGAGGAGCAGCTGGAAACCCACAAGGGCATTTCCCCCAATGATCTAAGTACCTGCCTCTAGGTTCTGCTTCTTATATATACCTCCCAGTAATATCCCAGAAGGCATTCAACATCCAAACAGCCACACTTATCAAGGGATAATTTTCAAGGAGTTGAAATCTGTCAATATGTACATACAAAGACCTTGAACTCACTAAATAGTGAGAGTCAGTAATGTGGTAAAGCTGTTCCAATGAACAGTCGAAGAATAAAATTGGGGGGGGGCATTGTGGGGCTTGAACTCTGGGCCTGAGCGCTGCTCCTCAGCTCTTCAGCTCAAGGCTGGTGCTCTACCACTTGAGCCACAGTGCCACTTCTGGCTTTTTCTTTTTATGTGATGCTGAGGATTAGAACCCAGTGCTTCATGCATGTGAGGCAAGTACTCTACCACTGAGCCACCTTCCCAGCCCCGGAGAATAGAAATTTATATAATTGATCAGGCAAAGAAATGCAGACATAAAATTTCAAGTTGATTAAATAAAACAGTTAATATTTGACAAGTGATAAATTTGAGGATTGTCTTTCCTACAGTAAGAAAAATGTACAAGTTAATGCACGATGTAAGGGCATCTGGGTGGAATTCTGGCTTTTGCGTTGCCACAGCTGCTCTCCAGCTCGTGTTCTTCCAGGCACATGCCACTGCTGACTGGCTGGACTCTATCTAAATAGTAAACAGCAAGTTCCAGCCTAAGAACGCTCTCCTATTGCTTTGGTAACCCCCCTGGGTGAGCCTATTAAATGGTGACCTGCAGAGGGCATGGAATCTACTTCTTGCCTTTGTCCATGTTTTGGATACATCCCTTACTGGGCTATGTTTTGGAAGCGAGGTGACAGAACACTTTGTGCAAGACCAGTAGCCTCTGGGGACACCAAGAAGAACATGGTGCTCTGCGTATCTGAGTACCAGTGATCTGTCTTGGCTCCAAGAAACTCTCAAGCTGACACCTCTGTTGCTAACCACAGCCCTCTGTGCCTTTTTGGTTGCTAGGAACCCACTGTTCACTCTGGGAGGAAACCTTTTTAGGAGTGGCTGGGCTTTGGAAAAAGTCTTTGTCCATATGGGATGGTTTCACTGACCGTTGAGCAAGTCCTTAGAGCACAGGTCACACTGCTGCTGCTGCTGCTGCTGCTGCTGCTGCTGCTGCTACTGGACAACCAGCCAATGCTGTGGACAACCAGCCAATGCTGTGCTGGCTGCTGTTAAAGGCAGACTCTCATTGGATGGCCATGGGAAGGACAAGTTGAGGATGTCTCAGCCCAGTCTGGGGAGTGTGAGGCGGGCTCTGCCAACTCCTCTGCCTGCATGCTGCCCCCCTCTTCAGCACTGGGTATGGGTCTCTCTCCCTCTAGCCAGTTTTGCTCCTGGTAGTGCTCTCTGATTGTACCCTTAGCATAGGCTTCTTTTACATTTCTCTCCACAGCTCTGTGGCGTCCCTGCCCAGCCCTCTCTGTGTTTGGCCAGGTTTTCTCCAAAAGATAAAAAGATTCCATTTCTTACAGGATAGCGGGATGTGAAACTGAGCTTCCCCCGCTTGGTCCAGAAGGCATACAGTCACCTGGTAATTTACTCAGTCACTTTGCCACTTGCTGTTTCCCCATCTCCCAGGCTAGAAAACCCACAAGGGCAAAAAGACTGTGCCTTCCCCCTGTCACTGAATGCCCAGTACTAAGCATATAGCATCCTCTTGGGGACATAAAAAGGTGGTTTTCTTTCATGGGGAAAACCTACCCACACCACTGCTGCCCACACTAATAGCTTGTGAGCTCTCACAAGACAGAGCCCCTTGTAGAGAATCACATGCCTGCTGACGGCCACTCCTCATGACACATCTAGCCCATGATAGTGCTCTTTGCGTTTTCACACACCAGGAATAGAGCAATGGACTAAGTAATATTCTAAAGCTTCCCAACAGATTGGAAGCCAGGCCCCTCTGACCATTGATCTTTCCTCCCAGAAGGAAGCCTGACAGGAAAAGAGGGACCAAGACAGATAAAGCTCTTCTGATCCAAAAGAAGGAAAGTTTCTGGGCTTAATGGAAGGTGCTCAGGGAGTAACTCTTCTACTTAGTATCTTTCAAGGGATTTTGGCCATCCTTTTCCATGACAGGAAGTGCTGTGCTGGTCTGTGGATCCCTGGAGGAAGATATTTCACGTCCTTCTGATAGCTCTTCTCCTGCTCTGCAGGAAATCTTAGTATTGGTCCTACTCACATTTACATTTTTAATTAAAAAATTTATTGTAAAGATGATGCACAGAGGGATTGCAGTTGCATAAGTTAGGTAAGGAGTATGCTCCTTTTTGGGCAATGTTACCCTTTTCCTCACTCTCTCCCAGTTTTTTGCTCCTGTCCCCACACACAAGTTTAGCGTTCATTTTCAGCATAGTGTCTAGTGAGCACCATTGCTGCATTTATTCACACATTGTCCCTCAATTTCTGTGCCTCCTTACCCTCCCAAAGACAGGTAAATGAACAAACAAGACAAAAAGAAAAGGAAATGAAAACAACAACAAAGAACATCTCTTGTTTCCATTTCCTAGAGTTCATTTCGATAAATAGTATTTGATATGATCAGATGCACACAGGCATTTGTGCCTTTGTGTTTCTCTCCTGAAGAGTATCCTCCTTTGGTCTCACTGTGTGTGGATATCTAGAGTCTGGGATAATATATCATGTCTTGATGTATTTTATGAGAGAAGACATGTGCCCTTTGTCTCTCTGAGCTCAACCTACCTCACTTAACATGATTTGTTCTAGGCCCATAGATTTCCCTGCAGATACATAATATTATTCTTTCTAATGGCTGTGCAAATTTCCACTGTGTATAGATAGATACTACATTTTTCAGATCTACTCATCTTCACATCCACTTTTAACCCTGCATTTTGGATATATTTGGAGGCTGCATCACTGGAGGAAGTATTATGATTTAGTGAACCTTGTTTTGAAAACCATGAGTACATTCTAGAGACTTGAAGTCTACTGAAAAACCAACTAGTAGTGAACACTTTCATCAAATATTCAACTGAGATAAAATCAAGATAAGTGGAACTTTTGACCCAAAGGTATACACACACAGGCATACACTCTTTTGTGTTTAACAAAATTCACTATGTAAAACACCACTAGACTATTATTTGAAAGGTTTTTTTGTTTGAAATTTTTGAATGAAGATAGAAGCTCTAACCATCATAATATCCCAACTTAAGGACAGGAATCAGAATGTACTTAGGGAGACAACATAAAGAGGTCAAGATCATTTGCTTAATCCCTTCAATTGTCTTGTTTCTTTACTTGAGGGTAGCACTTGGAGTTCTCTTATTAAATTGTTCTGATGGCAACATTGAGATGATTAAGCCTGATACCTGATACCTCCCAAGGGCTCAGTGTACATTAGCTGTCATCATCATCATCATCATCATCATCATCACCAATATCAACATTATCCACTGTCACCCACCACCCTCCTTGTTAATTATGTATTCACATCACAATCTGGAGCTTGGTACCATCAAGTTGTTGGATGGAAGGATGGGTAATACTCACTGGAGCAGTATATCATTTTTAAGCACCATCATTTTTAAGGGTGCATTGACTCATGCCTGTATTCCTACTCATTCAGTGACAGAAAGATCAGTGTTTGAGGCAAGTCTGGGCAAAACTTAGGGAGCCCTTCTTCCAAAAACAAACTGTGCCTCTTGGCAGATGTCTGTGGTTCTAGCTACTCAAGAGGTAGATGTAGGAGGAATGTACTTCAAAGTCAGATCTGGGCAAAGTTAGTGTAAATCCTATCTGAAAATCAAACCAAAAAAGCAAAAGGCCTGACTCAAGTGGTAGAACACTTAATACAAGGCCTTGAGTCCAATTCCCAATACCACAAAAAGGAGGGAGGGCCTCAAAACCAGAAAGAGTGGTTCACATCTGTAGGCCCAGCTACTCAGGAGACAGAGGTAAAAGAATACATTATGTCTCAGAATTCCAGAGCAGCCTGGACAACAAAGCAAGACACCATCTAAAAAAATCATCAAAAAAGGAATAAGAACTCTCAGTTACAAATTCTTAGGTGAAGCAAAGAGCCCCTTCTCCTCTGTTCCCTTTTGTATCTGTGTTTAAACTGGGCGGAACACAATCAGCTTCCCTCACATATACAATACATGGCAGATTCTGAGCAGCTCCCCAAAGTCACAACTCGAATTCTTGGCTCTATAGAAAGCAGTCAGCCCTCAGAAATGTGTCTGTGTATTCCTGTCATATGTAGGAGTAGAGTCATTAAAGCCAAATGCTGCAGCTGGCGGAGGGAATCTTGTCCCTTAGGAAGCTAAACTCATCAGGGCAGGGAGACATTTGCTTCTTCCTCTTCAAGGCCTCAGAACTTCAGAATGATAATGAAACACATACATGTTACTGTCGCCCTTACAGAGCCGGAGACAACTCCAGCGTGTCCTTGGCCATCGTTCAAGCTGGGCAGAAGGACCAGGGCCTCTATTACTGCTGCATCAAGAACAGTTATGGAAATGTCAGTGCTGAGTTTAACCTCACGGCTGAAGGTAAGCCTTCACTTCTGAGCAGTGTGTGCAAACCCTGGCCTGGCCCAGCACGCGGGACCCCATGCTGACACCGGTCTCTTCTCTGTCTCCTAGTGCTCAAGCAGCTGTCAAGCCTCCCAGAGAATAGAGGTAAGCCAATGTGAGCAGAGGAAATGGGCTCCTCACAAAGCCCCAAAACAGGGGATGGTAGAATGCTATCTCTGGGCACCAAGTGGGGGCACTCTCAGAAAGGCCTGGAGAAACGAGCAAATAACCCATTGTCCCTGTCATAATTTCATCAAGCTGCTGATGCCCAGAAGTGACTCCCTTACGCTGTGCAGTTGTTAGGAACTTGTGGAGGTGGAATTTGGATTTGCTGGTTTGGGTTTTTTGTTTTTGTCTCTCTCTTTAGACATGACTCGTGTGCATTGCAGTTTTCCAGATCCTGACACACACACAGAGCAGGTTTTGTTGCTTTGATTTCCTCTTCAATGTGACTTAGCTGAGCAGACAGAACTAAGTGTTGGGAATATAGTTTGATTGCATGCCTGAGAAAGTGAAAGATGGGTTTTTATGCTTTCTTTGGGCACATCTGGCATCACTGTAGCCTAGCAGCTGTGCTTCTAAACACTGGGGGCAGCCCCTGGGCCAGGTGTGGTGGGCTCCATGCTGGCCACGTCTGCCCCCTTGGGGACAACTCGCTCACCTCCGCCCTGCCCTGCCTACCACCTTGTGTGCTGGGGAGGGGGAGGGGGGGAACCTGATTTTTCCATTTCTAAGGTATAAATACTCTCAGAATGAGCAATTTCAAGCTACCCGAGTGATCATAAATTATTCATCTGGGAAGAGATTCTCCCAATTAGCTCTCAGGAGCTGGAGTTAGAATGGGGCCGTTGGTCACTTTCCGGAGGAGGGAAAAACTGATGATTCCATTAGGCTAGCATCTTAAAAATGTGTATCTTGCCTGGAGTAGTGGCTCACGCCTGCCATCCTAGTTACTGAGGAGGCTGAGATCTGAGGATTGTGGTTTGAGGCCAGCCCAGGCAGGAAAGTCTTTGAGACTCTTTACTCCAATTAACCAGCAAAAAGCCAGAAGTAGAGGTATGGCACAAGTGGTAGATGCTACCCTTGAGCACAAGAGCTCAGGAACAGCACCCAGACCCCAAGTTTAAGCCAGAACTGATACATTCCTAGCACCTGATATTTCTGTGTAAGCAGGACAATAAAGGCAATTAAGATGCTGAACACCAGTGGTTCATGCCTGTAATCCTAGCTACTCAGAAGACTGAGATCTGAGTATCATGATTCAAAGACAACCTGGGCAAAAAAGTCCACTAGACTCTTATATCCAGTAAACTACTACTAAAAAATGCCAGAATTGGGCTGTGACTCAAGTGGTAGAGTGCTAGCCTTGAGCAATAAAAGCTTAGGGACAATGCCTAGCCCCTAGTGCTCTGTGTCCTTCATACCTGAGTTACTCTTCCAGAGAGAAAATTGACAAGAAAAGAAAGAGGGGGGGGGAGAGGGAGAGAGGGAAGGAGGGGAAGGGGGAGGAGAGGAAGGGAGGGGGGTGGAAGGGGAGGAAGGAAGGAAGAAAGAAAGGAAGGAAGTCAGTTTAGGCTCTAAGATGACTTGCTCATTAACGGTGACATTTCAGGCATTGCTCTAAGAGATATCTTTAGACAGCAAGTCCTTTGTAAGCACAATCAGAGCAGTCCTGAAATTTCTTTACTTTTACATGGTTTCAGCCTTGTTAACCTAAAACATTTCTGTTGGAACTTACAGTCAGGATTATTAATTATACCACATAGAATATCGATGAGTGTGTGTGTGTGTGTGTGTGTGTGTGTGTGTGTGTGTGTGTTGCTGGGATGGAGTCCAATCCTGGTACATACTAAACAAGCACTCTTCCACATTGGCTTCTCCCTCCCTGCCCCCCACCCCCCCTCACCCCACCCCCTTCATGGGACTGAACTCTGGGCCTGGGCGCTGTCCCTCAGCTCTTTAGCTCAAGGCTAGCACTCTACCACTTGAGCCACAGCTTCACTTCTGGCTTTTTTTTCTTTTTTCTTTCTTTATGTAATGCTGAGGAATCAAACTCAGGGGCTCATGCATGAGAGGCAAGCGCTCTACCACTGAGCCACCTTCCCAGCCCACATCAGCTTCTTAATTGCTTGAAACTCTGCAACCCTTTTGCTAAGCAGATGCATTTGAAGGTTGTGTATTCTGATGCCTTCAGTCTTTTGCTAGCTATTATGAAAAGATGTGGTGAATATACTCTTCCTTCTTCCTTCTGGCAGTTTCTAATTGTTCCCAATTTTTCTATTTGAAGATCTTCCACCTCCCCCCACCCCCTTTCTCTTTGGTGATATTGGGGTTTGAACCCATATACTTTTTTTTTCTTTTTCTTTTCTTTTCTTTTTTTTTATTGGTTGGTTGTGGGGCTTGAATTCTGGGCCTGGGCTCTGTCCCTCAGCTCTTCAGCTGAAAGCACACCACCCCTTCTGGTTTTCTGGTGGTTCATTGGAGATAAGAGTCTCATGGGCTTTCCTGCCTGGGCTGGTTTTGAACTGCAACCCTCAGATCTCAGCCTCCTGAGTAGATGGGATTACAGGTGTGAGCCACCGGCACCCGGCAAGGCCTTACATTTTCTAAACTGGAGTTGTACCACTTGAGCCAAACATCCTGCTCTGCTTTTTGTTGATTATTTTAGAGATAAACTCTGACTGGCCTCAAATCTTCCTTTAGATTTCACCTTTCTGAGTAGATAGAATTACAGGCATGAGCACCAGCACCCAGCTTCTTTCTGCTAATGACTAGACCTACACATTAACCAGTGCTTTTTTTTCCCCATGCTAAGAAGGATTGAACACAGGCCTGTGTAATTGCTAAGCCAGTGCTACACCAGTGAACTACATGGCTAGTGTCACCCAATACTCCAATGAGAGACTCAGTCTCCTTGTGCTTTAAACAGCTAGCATCGGCTCTCGGCTGCTCTTAAAACATGATATGAAACCATTTCGTATTCTGTAAACATTCTGTATAAAAACATGAAGAAGGTATTTCACATGATTTCTTTCTCCTTTTAAATATTCAGAAGGATGTTGGGGCTGGGAAGGTGGCTCAGTGGTAGAGCACTTGCCTTGCATGCCTGAGGCCCTTGGTTCGATTCCTCAGCACCACATAAGCAAAAAGAAAAAAGCGGAAGTGGTACTGTGGCTCAAGTGGTAGAGCGCTAGCCTTGAGCTGAAGAGCTGAGGGACAGCACCCAGGCCCAGAGTTCAGGCCCCACAGCCGGACTCCCCCCCCAAAAAACCCACAATTATCTTAATACGTTGAGAATCACCTGTTCCCTTCTCTCAGCAAATTGCAGGTCTTTTTTTATTTCCTTTAGCCAAAAACATAGCATCCTGATAGAATCTATCATCCTCTGCCACAGTGCTGTGTCCACTCTGAAAAAGAGATGCTAAGAACTTGAGAAAAATCCTTCTTCTGGGTCTCTCATGGGAGTTAAGTAGGGTTTGTCCCCTGGATTGTCCAGGTCCATCTTGTCCTTGTCCTTCTGTGGCGACACAGGTTCACCAAGGATCAGGACTGGGGAACAGTCTGACCAACGAAAGCTGTGCTGTGTTGTAGGATGTGAAGAGATCGAATTCAGCCAGCTCATCTTCAGAGAGGACTTCCTTCGTGACAGCTACTTTGGGGACCACCTGCGTGGCCAGATCTCCACTGAGGAGTTGCACTTCGGGGAAGGGGTACACCGCAAAGCCTTCCGCAGCACAGTGATGCAGGGCCTCATGCCGGTCTTCCAGCCGGGCCATTCCTGCGTGCTCAAGGTGCACAACGCCATCGCCCATGGGACCAGAAACAACGCTGAGCTCGTGCAGAGGAACTACAAACTGGCCGCTCAGGTGGGTTGAGGCGCCCAAAGGCATTGGTTCAGGCGTGAAATAACTCCATTGGTAACATGGGATGAAAGTCAATCTCAGAGGTGATGGCGGTCTCTGTACAAGAGTGTTTGTCTTCTCTCTTAAGGCTGAGTGTTCACAATCCCTTTCTGGCTCATCCAGCCAGTTAGTACTCCGCTAATACCTGTAGACACCTCCCAAGTTCTCACCTGGGATGTAATCGTTGCTGTCCCTAGGAAACATATAAGGTTCCTGGGAATTTGCTTCTGATTGGACAGAGGATGATAAGGGTAGTTTGGCCTTGTAAGCCATACTGGATGCTGAGATTCCTAAGGACAGAGGAAATCACACTGGCTGTTGGAGGAGATTTGGAAAGAGAGAGAAGGCTTGGGGTATTTGACTTGTTTCTTGTTTTCCTGAGTTCGGTTCAAAGTCTACCTACAAATTATAAGGAAAGATTCACCTAAGTCTCTAGCTTAGTTCCCATCTCTCTCTAAGGAGAGAGAGGAAAAGAAGGGGGGTGGGAGGAGAGTCCCCTGTCTTCTCCCTCTCTTCTTCCCTCTTCCCTGCACTTCAACGGCAGCGTTAGCTAAGATGCTGGGAGAGTCGTGTCTCTTTCACAAATGATGCTCTCTTGGAAAATTTTTAACCCATAAACTTAGTAGATGGAACTTAGATGAACCTCTCAGATACTGACAAAAAATTAACTATCCATGACTCTGTGAAATGGGGGAATGTTGTGGACAGCTTCCTCTGTGAATATGGGATTTTGCCAGTTTTGTCTGTTTCTCCTCTGCATTTACCCCTTCCCTGCCCTGCCATATCCTGCCACTTCCTCTACCCTCCCTTCCCTGGCCTTCTCTTTTCCTCCTCTTCTCTTTTCTCTTTTCTTTCACCAAGTCTTCCTTCCACTCAAGGATGACCCAGTCATGAACATTTCTCCAGCCATCCAGATTCTAGGTATAAACAGAAAGCCCTATGTTAAGGTGATCATACTTTGCTACTCCAGCTATACCTCTGAAGGGAATTGTGGTGGGAGATCTCACAGGAAAGCCAGGTGGGCACTGAGCAAGCGCTATCGGATATCGTGAGCAGGCCAATCCCCTAAATTCAGGTGTGAATTTCAGCCATGCTGGATGGGGAAATTGTATAGTTCAGGGACACTGGTCACAGAGACCCCTTGACCTTGGTCTGGTAATCTCTCAAGCACCTGCATTTTAAACATTTATATAATTTTTAAAGTTGTCTTTAAGTAGTCGTACAAAGGGATTTCAGCTCCACATGTCAGTTTTTGATTATAGTGTACCATGATCCTTCAATCTCCCTCCTTCTCAGAGCCATGGTACATATTGCAAGTATAAGTTGCAGTCATTTTGCTTAAGGGGTCTGGGAGTTTAGCTCAACGTTGCTTTGCACACACTGGGCCCTGGGAACACTTGCCTAGCACATACTAGGCCCTGGGTTAGATCCCAAGCACCCCAAAAAAGTTTTGCTCCTGTGACTCCAACAAGAGAGACAAGTCTGAGAATTCATTGGGTTGACCTACTTGGGGGGGGGGGAATCTCCTAAATCATCTTGCTAGACCATATAGTTTGAATTCTTCTAATCACTTGACTTTCTCATTTATTTGGTGCTTACAGGAATGCTACGTTCAAAATACTGCCAGACACTATGCCAAGATCTACGCGGCTGAAGCACAGCCTCTGGAAGGCTTTGGAGAAGTGCCAGAGTAAGTGTATTGACCCTGTCTTGTGACCCCTGACCTTCTGGGGCCTTGGAGGGCCTTGGAGGGCCTGGGGGGGTAGGTCAGGAAGGTAAGAAGGAGCAATACAGGTCAGGAATTAGATTTGGTCTCACACCATAAAGGTTTGCAAGTAGCTGACTGTCCTGTTCTTGTTTGGTTTCCAGAAGCACATGGAAGGACATTTAAATATTCTTTAAATAAATGTATATGTGGATTGATGGATGGATGGATGAGTAGGTGGTATCTACCATGTTAAATAAAAAAGGTATCCATTCTCATAGGTATTTCCTATAAGCTTATACCATAAGCAAACAATTAGTCCTATGATGAAACTGATGGGGTGACAGGGAGGAATGGGTTGGGTGATCAGGAACATAGTAGTATAGCACCCACGTCCTGGAATCCCACAGAGATAAAGTACACTGGTTACTTTTATCCACTCATAGCCCAAAGACTTTTGACCTTAGCATTTTAGGGGAGTTTATATATACTGGTCTGTTTGTCCAGTTGAGGTTGTATTTGCATACTAAGTGGAAAGAGAAAGGGCCTTTCCACTGTTGAAGATTCCAAGCAGAGCAGCCATTTATGTGTCAGTGAAAATTGGGAGGGGAAAGAAGAAAGGATTTCTTGATTACACGGTCCCTGTTAATTCACAACATGAGGGAAATGCTTTCACTTAGGAGTATATTGAGCAGACCATGTAGAAACTCTAATACTTTCTACTCTCTGCCAAAAAAACAAAATCTTAATAGACTTGTTTAGTACACAAGTATTTGTCAACAGCTTTAAGAAAAACAAACTGATATAATGCAAAGAAAACACACTTCACTCTCTGTTAAAAGCAGTGGCATGAGTTAAGTTTTGTGTTGGAACTTAACTGTTAAATTTCTTGAGGCTTTTTAACAGATTCCTCTTAAGTTCCTCCTTCAGGAAGGAAAGAGTGAACACATTAAGCCATTGCCCCCACACAGAGCCAACTCTGGGGGGAGGACCAAGCAGTGTTAGGAGTATGGAGATCGACGTAGGAACTAGGAACGTACTGGTGCACCTGCTTGTACCTTCATCATCACTGAAGTAAACAGGGCCACTGCCGTGTGTATAGATAAGGACATTTTCCCGTCAAAAACTGTTTCACCCTCCTCACAACAGGAGAACTTGTGCCCTCATGAACAATTATAGAGTATGGAGGGGTAAGTAATAACTCTGTATCAGGATCTCTCTCTCTTATTTCCCTCTCGTTATCCTGCATCTAGATTACCAGCCTTCTCTGAAATCCCACAATGCTGCCTCCCAGGCCACCCCTGAGTTTGCTTCCAGACAAAGACACAGGCCTGCTGCATTCTCTTTGATGGTGGGGTCTTACTCCATATTCCCTGCAGCTTCTGCTTTTGAATTCATGAATATCAATGGCATCACATTGTCTATGCTGTCCCACTGGGCAGAGACCAGGCTAATTAAGAGAGTGAATAATGCCAGACCCTTGTTTCTGGCTCTCCCCCCCCCCCCCCCCCCGCGCCCCCCCCCCCGCCTGCTCAAAGGCTTCAGAATGAATAAGAATTCAGACAAACCCTGAACCTCTTGCTTGGTGGAAAGGGTCAAACCAGAGAGGGTCTTCGGAGGGTGCCTTGAATCCTGCACAAATCGTAGCATGTGACAGATGGAGGCTTGGAGGCCAGACTGCTTTGAGGGGTATTGGACAGGAATATTGCCCCAAATTTGCCCACTCCCATCTGGCTGTGACTTGAATTTCTGGAACACCCTAGAATGAGAAAGATGCTCTGAGGTCTGAGCCTTTTCCTTTTGCTGCTTGTCCCATTTGGAATGTTCTTGCTTTAGATATCTTCAGCCCTTCCCTCCCACCCCTTTTCCTACAGGTCTCTGCTCCCTTGTGCTCACGGGACTACTGTGACCTCCCCACCCCGTGCCACCTACCTGCCCCCACTCCACTGCGTCAAGCACTCAACCCGGCCATCATTCCTTCACCATTTGTCTCCTGCATTTAAATATACGATCCACGGAATGAAAGGAAATAAGGATGAGCAGATGGATGGATGGCAGTGGATAGAAGGATGGGGAGGGAGGCAGGGAAAGCAGAGAACAGAGGAAGGGAGGGAAGGAGAGAAGGCAACGGGGATTGATCCTACCACTCCCTGCAACTCAAAGGAGTGGGGGGAGAAGGCTAGAAGCTTCTCTTCCCGTGAGAGAGCCTGATGTGTGTTCATGTATGTCCTCCTTGCCAGGATCATTCCTATTTTCCTTATCCATCGGCCTGAGAACAACATCCCTTATGCAACAGTGGAAGAGGAGCTGATGGGCGAATTCGTGAAGTACTCCATCCGAGATGGGAAGGAAATCAATTTCTTGAGAAGAGAATCAGAGGCTGGGCAGAAATGCTGTACCTTCCAGCACTGGGTGTACGAGAAAACCAGCGGCTGTCTCCTGGTCACAGACATGCAGGGTAAGAAGAGCAGCGGTACGCTAACTCCAGAGAGGCTGTGGGCCTGGGATGAGAAAAGAGGAAAGGAGAACAAGGAGGAGGAGGAATGAGCCCTCTGCCGGATGACTTCAGCAGCTTTTCTCAGAGAAGTGTCTCAGGAGCAAGCGTTGGCAAACAGAGCAAATGGAACACTAAAATTCATTGCAAATGGGTGTGATGATACACACCTGTAATACCAGCTAAAAGGGAGGTAGGGGTGAGAATCCTGATCTTCAAGGACCCCAGGCTGAAAAATAATGAAAGCAAAGAAGGCTGGGGATGTGGTTCAAGTGCTAGAACACCTGCCTAGCAAGCACTAGGTCCTGAGTTCAAACTCTAGTACTACCAGAAAAAAAAATGGCTGCTAATGCTTTCCCATTACAAAAGGTAACCAGAGATTGGCTTTGTTTTTACACCTTCACTAGGTGCAAACTTAGTCGTACATAAGAAAATCCAGAAAATATGAAAAGGCACAGTATGTGCACACAACCTGTGCACATCTTCGCACACACTTTAAATCAGCCCTATAGATTTCTTACAATGCAAATGCTCTGTAAATAGTATGTTGTATTGTTGAACAATAATGACCAAAAAGTCTGTACATTTACAAGCAAATTTTCTCTCTCCTTTTGTTTTTTGCAGCATTGGGATTTGAATTCAGGGCTCACCTTGATAGATAAATGCTTTCCACTTGAACCAACTCCTTTCTTTCCTTTAGTTATTGTTTGTGCACAATGTTTCATTTGTTTAGTTGTTTGTTTGTTTGTGGTTGTTGTTCAGGACTATACTCTTCCTACCTTTCCCTCTTATGTAGCTGCAGTCATAAATATGACTCACTAGGCCATCTTTGAGATGGAGTCTTACGAACTTTTTGTCCCAGCTGGCCTCAAACCATGCCCCTCCTCATCTCCACCTCGTGAGTAGCTGGGATTCCAGGTGGAAGCCACCACACTTGGGGTCAATTCTGAGGATTTGGAATCCACAGATTCAGAGGCAGGGTCAAATGATTGATCATTTCTGTGGGGATTCCAGGAAGCTGTGCTGGGAGGGTGGGAAAGAGCAATTGGAGGAGGGCAGGCGGCCAGCAGGGCGCCAGGGTCCACTGCCAGCGAGTGCCCCCGGGCAGCTGGGGGCTCCTTTGCTGGGAGCCTGCTGGAGTGCATTTCCCAGAATGGCCCTGTCCGTGCAGCTCAGGCTCCCAGGTGGTCACCCATCTGCTCCCTGGAGCCGCAGCCGCAGGCCGCTGAGATGGGGCATTGCTGGCCCACACTGACGCACCGACCCCTGGCCAAGCTATGCTGGACAGAGCAGCGCAGAGGAAGTTCGTAGGCAAAGCAGAGCTGGTGTAGCGTGATGAGCGAGGCCCTGACAGCGGCTGCCCTAAGTGTTGCCCAGTTTCTTTCAGAAAAATCTGAGCTATGCCGTTGTCTGCATAGCAGATGTCACACGTGGTCGCAAACAAGGGCAGTCGACTCCGGCTCCAGCCTCCAGGTTGTTTTTGGTTCTGCCGCTTTCTAGCTGTCAGCCTTGGGGCAAATGGCTTAGCTCTTCATGCTTTAACCCTCTCTACTTGGGCTTGTCAAGACTAAAGGAGACAATAAGACATTTACTGCAACATTGCCACATAAGAAAACACTGGATTTTTTAAAAAATCTCCTTAATTTGAAATAAGGGTAGACTCACACACAAAAAAGCAAAAATATACAGAGGTCCCAATGTACTGTTTATCCAGCTTTGTCTGTTGATAACATCTCACATCACTATGGCACATAATCAAGACCAGGAGGGGACCATTTGGCATACTATAATTAATAACATTACGGACTTGAATTTTTGCCAGTTTTTGCTTGCATTTAATGTGTGTGTGTGTGTGTTTGTGTGTGTGTGTGAATGTGTGTGTGTGTGTTGGTACTGGTGCTTGAATTCAGAGCATGGTGCACTTTCTCACCTTTTTTTTTTTTTTTTTTACTCTAGGCCCATGTTTTACCACTTGGGCCACAGCTCTACTTCTGCCTTTTTGGAGGTAATTGGAAATAAGAGTCTCATGGCCTTTCCTTCCTGAGCTGGCTTCCAATTGGGATCCTCAGATCTCAGCCTCCTTAGTAGCTAGTATTATATAGTCTTGAGCCACTGGTGTCCCATTGTCTGTTTCCTCTTTGCAGAGACTTTTTGCTATACTCTCTTTCTTCTCTCTCTCTTTTTGCTATACTCTCTCCATCTTCTTTCCCTTTCTCTTTCTCTTTCACATGTCCACACACACTAGGGCCTTTATCAGGCAGCCATTTCTTCTGTTCAGATTATGGCTGTGTGGTTGTGTTTTCCTCCATCTCCTTTCTCCATCAGTTAACTTTGCATTAAATACACTTTGTCTACTGAAGAACAGCACCTTGGAGCTTCATGCACAGCTAGTTTTGCTCCTAGGCACTGCTAAACAAGTGTAGCAGGATATTACATCTCTTGGTAAATGATGTGCGTGTTTAAATGTGTTGGTGTGGGGCTTCATAACAATGTTTATTTACTCTCTGCTGCTGCGGGGAACATATTTATTATTATTATCATCATTGTGGCATGAGATAGCACAGCCATTCTCTAAGCAATGTCTCTACTTTTTATAGTTCTTCTGAGACGTTGGAATTAAGATAAAAACAAATCTGAAACTCATCCTTCACTTTTCATTCATATATATATATGTATATATATATATGTATATATGTCCCCTTTTCAGGGTTATCTGCTTGTTGATTGGACTGTTCCAGAGACTGTGGGAAGTCTGATTTGGAGCCAGCCCTGAGGGACCATTAGCCTTTCTAAGAGCCATCCACCATCCCAAGATCCATAGACTCATTCTGGGAACTTTCTCCCAATGCTGTAAAAGTTCTTTTCTTCCATCAGAAACAACCCATAGACCAATGTTCTCCTCAACTCTGCGGAACAGCTGTAACTACAATTTACCTGTTAGCCCCTTGCTAATATCCTTTATTGAATGACTGAGAAGTTATTAAAGCAGGACACACAAGTGTCCTTTCCAAATGATTTTCTATTTTTCTAAGCTGAAAAGGACAGCTGGTGATTATTAGAAGCAAGGGAGAGCAACTGCCCCAGTTCAGGGATCTCTTGTCAAATAACTTTTTTTTTTTAAACATGGACTTTCATGTAGCTCAGATCTGTAATTTTCAAATATGACTTTGCATGAATCAAGCTGTCCAAAGAGGACTTTTTTGCAATTTGGAATCTTTATTTTTTAACAGCATAGCCCCTATATTAAGAGCTATGTGAAGTATTTCTACATAGATTCAAGTTGTCAACAGCTTTGAAAGAATGAGAAGAATTAGTTACCAACTGTAAGAGAGGCTTTGAAAAGGCTCACTGGCCCCTCCGTGTCTGTCTAGCTCCCAGCGCAGTGCCCAATGCTTCTGTCTGACTGAGCCATCTGAATAACAACACGTCCTGCATTTTGGCCATGCTCCAGGTGAACACTGCTGACCAGTGCTAAGCATTCAGCTTTCTCTTCCTGGGCTTAAGGTAGAGAATTATGGAACTAGGTTGCCATCATATCTGATTGATGGTTGGCTTTTAGGGGGACCGAGTTCCATCTTCTGCAGACCAGACTGGATTCAAGGCCACTTGGCCCCTCTGTAGCCACCACACCTGCTGGTGGCAGGTGGTACTTGGCCCATTTAAGACCAGTCAGAGGTAAAATAGTCATCAGGCAGCTCAGACGCTGGCAGAGTGGCATTTCTGACATTATCAATGCTGTGTGGGGCAAATACCAGAGCCACTGCCTTAGAAAGACTGCTGAAGGCTATGTGGTTGGGAGAAGAAGATGCTAGAAAAGCAGCGATCCCCACACTCTGGGCATCAGAGAGCTGTACTCCTTCCTGCTAGACTCTGGAGAGGGTAAGGATGATGCTGAGGCTGGGGCAGGGGGAAAGACAGTGGCAATTTTCGAGCACAGAAGGTGGTCTTTCTCACATCAGAAGACAGACCATCCACTCTCCGTGCATCTCAGCATCCCTAGTGACTCGTCTGCCTACCCCCCTGGAAGGGCAGGAGCTCAGAATTCTACCGAGGCTGCCTGTGACACACACACACACACGCGCGCACACACACACACACACTGTGGTCCCATGACTAGCAGTTAGGACAAGTGACGGAGGGTTGGATCATGAGTTCTAAAGGTCAGCTCCCTGGGTCAATGGCTAAGAGTCTACCCGAAGTTCCAGAGTGTTTCTCTGGATCTGCAGGTGATCTAGAAAACAGGGTGGGAAACGGTCTTAATGCAAATAAATGGGAAATCGCATGTCTGAGCTGGGCTTTGAACTGAGCTAATGCCACCTTGCACTTTCTCACGGTTGATACTGACCATGAAACCCGCGCTACTTCTTTCACTGCATGAGGGGCTTTCACTCTCGGTGAGCCAGGGCAGAGCATTTTTGGGAGAGAGCTCTTGGCAAAGCAGCAGGCCTCGGCGGCATCACAATCACAGAACAGCAGGCTCCCTCCTCCTCCCTCTCTCCTCCCTCCTTTCTCCTGGAGTGAGAAGAGCATGGCAAGTCTGGCTTCCTAAGTAGAGGCTGCACATCTGCGAGGCTGGCAGCCTCCACAGAGAAGCCTCAGGTGGACAGGTGGGGAAAGATGGCAGAATGGTCTTAACCTACCTCCTCCCTAAGATCTTTCCCCTAAATGATCCTTCCTGAGGATTCCCCAAGTAATTCAAACTCCATCTTTGCTCTCTTCCCATAGGTGTAGGAATGAAGTTAACGGACGTTGGCATAGCAACGCTGGCTAAAGGGTGAGTAGAGAAAATGGAGTGGGTGTCATTTAACACTGGGCTTCCAGCAAATGCTGCCTTTCGGCTGATGTGGGCAAAGTAGATTTCCCGTTCTTCCTGTGGAGAGCAAACGTTCTTGGGATGAATTCAGTTCACTCCTCTCCCTCGCATGAAATATTTATGGACTTTGTTCTCTCAGGGAAACACATTTGTTTCCTAATGCTGAAGCAAACAAGAGCACTTGAAAACACAATTCAAGATTAATTACTCACAGGAGAGCCATGGAAGGAGAAAAATAAAACATGCCAGCCTTCTAGAATGCCTTTTAACTATGAAATTCCAATTTTCTACATTTAAATCATCACTATGAAAAAACTGCTTTCATTTTTTTAAAATTAAAGTTAAGAAAAAAAATTTTTTTTTTGCAATTGAGAAGGATAAATGCATTTGCATTCCCCCTTTCATTTCTTTTAGCCAAAAAGTACTTCGAGCCGCTTACAGATGCCCATGATGCTATTTGCAGGGCTGTGATTACTTACCTGTTGCCAGTGGCCATTCTCTTTCTTGAGTTTAGTATAGGAGGTTGATTTGTTCCGTTGACTGCTGTGACAGTGTTCTCTGGGGTTATCTTTAACACACTTCCCCTACTTACAGCTTTACCTGGCTCGCTGTGGAGAGCAGCTCTTCGTGGTCCTTGGTGAGAAAGGAAATGTGCTGCAGCTGCCCTTCCCCTTCTCCCCAGATGCTCTTTCCCCATGGGAAGAACATCTGTAAGGAGGAGGAGACAAGGACAGAGGCTGACTTCTTTTAAAATGTAGGTTTTTATTATTGATTCGGTATGGTCAACAAACCAGGAGACAACTTCTGTTGATGAACTCAAGGTTCCCAGCAGGAGAGGGCATGCTAGACTCCTGGGAAAAGATGCAGTCAGACAGGAGGGAGGGAAAGTGAAGGCCAAACACTTGAAAATGACAGTTGCAAGAAGGAATACATGGCGTACGGTAAGCAGGTGGAGGATTGGCTAGTTTGAGTCATTCAGCAGGTTCTAGGACATAAGGGCTCTCTCTCTCTCTCTCTCTCTCTCTCTTTCTCTCTCTCTTCATCTGTCCTGGGGGTCTTAGGGTAGGGAGATGATGGCCCAGAATGAGAAGGCTGACAGAGGAGGTGGAGGTCTGGTGGTTTATTTGGAGGTCTGATGCTATGGACGGTAGGTTACTGAGTAGCTCCAGGAATTGCCTTGCCTGGAGATGAGCAGTGTTTCTAGGCCCAGGAAGGCCCCATATGTCAAAGCATCAGAAATGCAGAAAACACAGTGTCACTAGGCCTATGTTGCCAGGCCTGGACTGACTCATCTACATTAGCCTTCGGGATGTCTCAGTCCTTCCAATCCGCAATGCACTAACGAATACTCTAGCTTTCAGCTTTAAGAAATGATAGAGAAGAGTGGAGGGAGTCGGAGAAGGGGAGAGGAGCCATTCCTGAACTCTGAGACTTGAAGTTCCCACTGAGGACACACAGCTTCTAATTGTGCTTTAGAACCCAATTCCCTGATGTTATTCCTTCTGAGAACTTGCCCTACAGTTTTAGTCTGGAACTACCTCCCACACCTGTCCCTAGCCTGGACTGGACCACTGATTGACCTGTGCTTCAGGGAATTTGACCGTGACCTTGGCCTTGTACAAAGAGCATGTCAGGAGGGGGGTTGTGAGGTAGTGAGAGAAGCAGGGGCTTCAGATCACCTCCTTCCTCCCTGGCCGGTGGAGGGGGTGTCGAGGGGCTTTGCCTCTTGGTGTTGTATTTATTCTGATTAGTCAGGTGACCACACATCCCAGTTTCCATGGCAGTGCCCTTTTGTGGCAGCTGTCCTCGCATCCATCTGCTTTAGCATTTGTCCTGGGCAAGTGTTCTCATCTAGGAGATACATGGACCCAATTTACAAAGGACCCCAGGAATATCTCTCAAACCAAGCCTTTAAAAACCCCATGATCTCTGCGGGTCAAGGCAAAATCCTGACTTCAGCAGACCAGGTTTGAGTCTGGCTTCCCATCATGCCACCTGTGTGGACATGTGACTGGATCTTGCGGGAGTACTCGTCCACAGAATGGCGACACTGGGACTTACCCAGTTAACCTACCTCCAGACCCGGAAGTTCAATGTAAGCTAGGTAAATCCTGGCTCCCTCTCTCCCGCCTCAACCTGACACCAGGCAAATTTCATCCCATCATCTAATACCACTTTCTACCAAAGTAAAGCAGAAACCTACACAAGAAGCTCCAGAAACTAACCGTGAGCTTAAGAGCATGGTGATTTAAGACTTTGTTTTTAAAGCACATCAACAGTTTCCAGGAATCCAATCTGAAAGCTTCAAATGGTGCCTCCCGCCCCCTCCTAATTTAAAAAGAAATCCAATTCCTTGGTTTCTTTCTCAGCTTTAATGTGACTTATCTGGCCTGGGACAGTTGCCCAAAGCACATTAGAAGAAGACCAGGGCCAAATGCTTTCTATAAAGTGTTACTTACTGATTGCTTTCCCACCCAAGGAGAGATGGGGGAGGGAGAGGGAGAAGATGGGAGAGAAGAGAATTCTGAAGTGTTTGAGAGTTTTGAAAGGGGGTACAAATTCATCTTGTCCATTTCTGAAAAAAATTTTAGAAAGTTTAAAAAAAAGTCACAAAAAAAGCCATAGACACCTGTCCCCCAAGAGCTGTATCTTAGCAGTTTGGTCTGCAAACCTGACATAAGGGGAAATGTCTCCTATCAGAGGGCAAGAAGTGGTTGAGAGGCTTCTTCCCAGGTTCCTTGGCGTCTCTGTGCATGGGGTGAATCCCAATGGCAGAGAAGGGGCAGGGCCAGCTACTGCTTACAAGTCTCACTGCTCGAATGAGAGAATGTAAGGCATCTGGTTAGGCCCTCCTGAGCTGAAGGGCCAGATCGCCAATGGAGGGAGGCAACATTTGGTTGAAGAAACCCTCCAGTGAAAGCCATAGCTTGCAAAACGAGAACAATAGCAGTAGGCTTGGAATGGAGTCAAGGTCAAAAGCACTTGTTGATAGGAGAGATGTGCAGAAGGGACATCTAGGGGTGGGAGAAATAAAGAGAGGAGAATGTGGCAGGTAGATGAGGAGTTCCAGAGTGTGTAAGAGAGGGGGTGAATGAATAAAGATCCGTTAAACCTGTTCTCTTGATCCTCAGCTTACCTAGTTCATTCATAATGGACAGAAAGGAAGAGTGGTGAGTCTGTACAAGGTTTGTCCCAGTAGCATTTGGCTATGGGAAGACACTATTGTAAGTAGTGTTTTGAGTCATTAAAAAAAATACATTTCTATGTCTCAATCTACACTATCTAAATGTGACCTGCCTTGTTTTGTAATGAAGTCAAGAGTTGTTCTTCTGTTTCTGGAGTAACTAAGTTATTTATAATCACATGAAAGAACATAAGGAATTGTCATGACTTACTCATTTCAATTCAACTTTATTTGCTATGGTCCCCAAAACAAAAGTGTGTACAGGGAGTGATATGACTGTGGTGTAAGTGTTGTAGGCCTCAAGCTGAGCGCTGGTGGCTCCGGCCTGTAATCCTAACTACTCAGTAGGTTGTAATCTGAGGATCTTAGTTCAAAGCCAGCCCAGGTAGAAAAATCTGAGATACTCTTATCTCCAGTTAACCACCAAAAAGTTTTAAGTGGTGGAAGGCCAGTCTTAGATGAGCAAAATAAAAAGAAGATAAGCACAAGGTCCTGAATTCAAGCGCCACTACCAGAAAACACATACAAAAAGTATACTGCTCTTCATCTTTTTTTTCTGGTTGGTCATGGGGTTCGAACTTAGGGCCTGGGCATTGTCCTTGAGCTCTTTTTGCTCAAGGCTAGCACTCTACCACTAGGGCCATAGCTCCCCTTCCAGTGTTTGAATGGTTACTGGAGATAGGAGTCTGATGGGGACTTTTGTACCCAGACTGGCTTTGAACCATGATCCTCAGATCTCAACCTTCTGAGTAGTAAGATTACAAGTGTGAGCCACCAGCACCTGGCTGCCCCTTCATCCTTTAGCAACTTCAAGAACAAGATTTAAGTGACCCAGCAATCCATTTTTGTTAGTTCCAGCTTGGACTCTGTGTTGAAGTTGCTCATCACTTAGAGATCTCATAAGGAGACAGAAAAAAAGTGTCTAATTTTATAACTAGAGATAGGGAAATTGCAGAGCCATGACCTGGTCAGCTCTGCAATTATATGATGGAGTTCCTGGGAAGAAGGTGAGATTGTGGTTCAGCCACCAGGGGGCAGCAGAGCCAAGACTTTGCCCTGTAGTCTTAAAAAAAAAAAAAAAAGCAGGATTCACATTGTTGAACTGCAGTAAAACAAAGAGAAGAATCCTGAGCAGATTTCTTCCAGTCAGTAAGCACTGATCCAGAATAAAATGGATTTGAATAACCACTAGGACAGTATGGCTGCCAGCCAATACTCTGTATTTGTATTCTTGGAAGAAAAACGTGATGCTTAAGGGTAAAGGACAAGTATCAGGCATCCACACAGAAAGCACATTCATAAGACCCTACAGCATTGTGAAGGGTTTGTTTTCTCTGCAGAAGGGCAAACATGAGGCTACAAGGACCCATGTATCAAGGAAGACACACTTGGAAAACAGTTACCTTTATTGGTGCTGGGGCCTGCCTGCCCAGTTCTGGCCCTTCAATCCCTGAGGAAGAGGAAAGGTTCAACAGATAGTCATGCCCAACCATGCCAAGTTTCAGAGAAAAGACTGCCCTGAGCATCGAGAGAAACCCTTGATGCCCTGTGTGTCTGTGGTAAACAAAGGGGACCATAGCCAGCTGTCCCCAGTCCAGAAGTATGTGTGGAGAGGCAGGGTGAAAGTCACTGGGAGATGGGAAGAAATGGCATCTCATCTTGAACTCAGGGCCTTGTCCTTGCTATGCAGATATACCAATACTTCAGACCCTCAGCATCTTTTGAATGTGCCTCACAGCATGACCAATGTCTCTGTAGGGCTTGAACTCAGCCTGGG